GTTGACAAAGTCATCATTTTGTCTTGCCCATTTTTCTCTCATTTCTCTCTTATTATTTCTTGTTCTCTGTCTTAAGCTCGGAAGTAATTCTTCATGTCTTCAGCAATTGCAAAATGTACTCCTAAATTTCTTGTTGGCATGTGATCTAGCTTTGATTGTAGAAGTTTGTAAATAATGGATCAAAGTGTAGCGTTTATGTGCATAGATTTGGTGAAACCTTTGTTGCCCATCTTGTGATTCCCACTGTATGCACTTCCATTATTCGCTGAAATTCTAGATTTTGTTAGTTGTTTTGCATTTGTGCCTCATGATTTTGAATGTTTGGCTGGTAGAATTCTTTATTGTTTCCTTCTTGGTTATTGTTTTATTATGGTGGGACTCCCATTTGCCACATACGCTGGACTCGTTCAATTGTCGAAACATTGATGGGTGTTTTCTGAATGATTGTCTCATCATCTGGATGGGTAGGGACTCTGAATAACCTGCACAACTCATTAATAATACAAAAGTGCTGACAAGTTTTTTGGGCAGCATCAACTATATATTTAATATTAGGAGAAATAATAGATCTTACATTTATAGGTTCACCATTCAAAAGAGATAGCAGTCCTAAACATCGCTTTGCTATAAATTGTGACTGATTAGAAATTGTTTCTAATATTTGAACAAATAAAGATGCCCAAGCTCTAGGGATTTGGAGGAAATCACTGGTTTTTAGCCACAACCGAAGGTAGTTCTTAACTACCCAATTTGTCTCAGGCGTACAAAGAGTATTAAAAATCTCTTGAGCGGGTCCGTGCATAATACGGTGCTCGGCCCATTTTTCCTTGATTTCACTGAGTGTGTGTGTGTGGGGGGGGGGGGGGGGGGTCAAGAAGAAGAAGAGCATTAATTCTATCGGGAGATTAGTCGATGTACTTACCTCACACATATGACATATAGGAAGTGGAGTGTTGAAAATTTGCGTTGGCATAAAATTCTAAAGCAAAATATTTATTTGCATCTTTAATTAAATCATTAAATCTTACCCAATGCCTTTCTTGAATAATCTCCACTACTTCTTCAAAACATATTAAATCATCCAAGTCAAAAGCTCTTTCCTGCACCACATGATAAGATGCCAACTAAAGGAACTTTTCTACGTTGACTTCTGACAAAAAATATATATTTGGGTAGGTGGGAGCGCCTGATGTTGGTCAAGGGTTGTAGGTGGAGCCTCTATGACCTCGGATTTTTTTGGATGCCATCTGCAAAATAAAAACAACACACAGAGAAAAATATACGAGATAAGGAATAATTGGAATGTATCAAATGAATGATGAAGCAAGAAGAGTAGAAGAATGAAATGGTATGGTGAAGGGTGGCCTGAAAATGGCCTTTCATAGAAATTATTAGAAGCCATTGCATGCTTGATGCTAACAAAACAACCCAACATTCACCTGCGACGGTCATCTCCAATAGCCACTTTCCCATATCGTTACCATTTGAGCGCGTGATAACTTGTATCGCATGCGCAATATAGAGATATCACTGCATGATAATTCCAACCCCTTCTTTTTCTTTTCTCTTTTCTCTTCTTATATATATATATATATATATATATATATATATATATATATATATATATATATATATATATATATATATATATATATATATATATATATATATATATATATATATATATATATATATATATTTGTCTCCCTTTCAACCTTTCTTTTAATAATGCACAAATAAAAAGCATATATTACGATAATAGCATGGAATTGACAAAAATAAATTTTTAATTTTTAACTTATCGATGGGTTTCCTCCCATCAAGTGCTTCTTTACCCTCATTATCTTGACGTGTAATTCCTAATGTATGTCAGACGCAAGGGCTTCCCTCACGTCGTACACATGTTCTATGGTTATTCTTTCAACCTGCGTCTTTCCTTCAATTTCAACTTGGTAACATGTTTCCAAGTCATTGACATATTTAGTCCATTCATAAGCATTATAAATTACATGCTCATTGTTAAATTGTAACATGAGCTCTCATGAATCAACATCAATCAGGGCCTTACCAGTTGTCAAGAATGGCCTTTCAAGAATTAGAGAACTCTCAGTATCTCCTTTCATATCCACCACTAAAAAATTTGAGGAAAAATTAAACCATCCACAGATACAAAAACATCTTTCAATATTCCATACGGGTAAGTAACATAAAGATCAACTAAGGTTAGAGCCATATTGGAAGGTTTTTTCTCTCCCAAATTCAGTTCATTAGCTATTTTCAGAGGCATCAAATTTATGCTCGATCCGAAAATCACATTATGCACGTGGAAACTTAAATTCCCTAATATTGCAAGGAATAATGAACTTACATGGATCCTTCTGTTTATGCGGAATATTTATGTGCAATATAGGATTACACTTGTCTGGTGCGTCCACTTATTTTCCTTCTTTTTCCTTCTTTTTACCACCTAAGAATTCCTTCAATAATCTAGAATATTTAGGCATTAGTTTCAAAAATTCATTAAGGGGAACACATACATGATGCTTAGCAACCATTTTCTTGAACTTTTGAAATAGTCCCGCACCGTCTTCCATATTTGGTTTCTTCTTTAGGATAGGATACAATGGCTTGATATAGTAGGGAAACTTGGGACTAGGATCATTCAGAAACTATTTCTTAGTTCTTCTCAAGGGGGAGTATTTGTCTATCAATTGATCAACGGTGAGCCCTTTTTTAGAGGAATCACTTGCATTGTCACTCACTTTGTTTTCAGTCTCAACTCCTACTTCTTCTACTATTTCATCACTTTCCACTTTAGTGTTTCTACCTAACTTCAACTCCACAGCCTTACAAGCTTCATTCTTGGGATTATCCACAGTTTTGTGAGTGCAACTTCACTATTAGATGTTTTGCATGATGTCAAAACTAGAAAAACTTAGCATTTTTGTATATTAGACGATATCTCTAAGTAATATGGTGCACCCTTGCATTAGAGGTCTTAGGAATCATTTCAAACCACATTGAAATTGGCCAAAATATCAAAATTCATTTTCTGCATAAAAATCACACGCGTGTGTCGGCACATTCGTGTTTCAGAATGACACATGTAACTCAAAAATGAAGTATGTAGTTTCTATTTTGAACAGGTCAACGCATGCAGCTTTAAGACCGAGACATACTATAACTTTCACTTTTATGTGCCGAGCGGTAGGTGATAATATTAAATAATAGCTAAGAATATACATAACTGGTCAAGAAGATATATGAGGATAGAATAATGAAATCTACCACCGATAATCTCAATTATGAAAATCCAAGCTGCTTCCTCACACTTGATTCTCAATATTCTCCACCTCATGTGGAAACTTTCTCTTTCACATACTCTTCCATAAGATATATGAGGATAGAATAATGAGATCTACCACCGACAATCTCAATTATGAAAATTCAAGTTGCTTCCTCACACTTGATTCTCAATATTCTCCTCCTCGTGTGGAAGCTCTCTCTTCCACACACTCTTCCATAAGATATATTCGGATAGAATAATGAAATCTACCACCGACAATCTCAATTATGAAAATCCAAGCAGCTTCCTCACACTTGATTCTCAACACTCTCCTCCTCATGTGGAAGCTCTCTCTTCCACATACACTTGTACCGCTGTTGACACTCTTCAACGGAAGACATGCGAGAAGTGTTTCAATACAAGTAAACCAATCCCATTTTTACTTGGGACACACCTTTGTGAGAGACACACCACATATCCACCCAAAACTTTAAGGTGATAGGTGTGTGGGTTCTCTCACTTAAAAAATGTTCATTCTCCCATTTTCTAATTAATGTGAGACTTCTTCCTCACACTTGATTCTCAATATATATCTCTCAAAGACTTCAGTTTGTTCATAACTAGCATTATCGAGGAAGGAACACTCGTTGTAATTTTTTTTTTGTATTAACTAAGTAGAGATAATGTCGTTTCTATTGTGATTGTGATCAATCCATTTTATCGTAAAAAATTCTACACTACATGAAGTATTCAATTTGTCTCTGATTTATGAGCATTGGTAAAGATCCATTGTAAGGATTCTTTTTTTAAATTTATATGTTGTGGTTATCACGATTTGTCTTATATTTTTCTTTCTAAAATTATATCTGCATCGAGATCACTAAAGCTCTTAAATATTATTCTGTTTAGACCTATAAAATACTGTGTTAGACAATGATAGAAAAATAGACTAATCATAATTAATAATTATAGAAGATGGACATGGATAAATTTTTTAATAAAAAGGATGAATTTCATTATATGTTTTAAGTATTACACAAACAAAAAATTGAGAATAAACCAAATTAATCATGGGAGATAATAAAATCTTGGCCAAAACAAGTGAACAATCTAATATTAAAAATAATCTGTTATGTTTTGAATTTGATATTTCCTATTACCATTTTCAGCCCCCATTCCCTAAGTTCCTAGATCCTTCCCTCTATGCCTATGTGCTACTACTTTTCATCTTTTTCCACTCTAATGTCTCTCTCCCATTCCTTTTTTGTCAATGCTATGGTCATTTAGCATACGTGCCAACCGTGCAATTATCAAATATACATTATATTCTACCTTAGTGACGCGTAAAACCAAAAATAATTGAACCATGGAAATTTAGTATTACACTTTCAACTAGAAAACTGATAATTGATAATATATAAAATTTAACTTACATGTAAACTTTATATAGTCAACTTTGGACTTTGAGCGGGAGGCGGGTGTTAGAATTAAAATAGTCCAATTATTGGTGAGTAGAATAATTTTAATTAAAATTTAATTAGTTTACTTGTATGAAAATTCAATAATTAAAATAATAATATTTCAATAATGTACAAGTGTAGGACATCGAGATCTACCAAACATTGTGACTATATAAACCAATGCAAAAGTAGAACTTCAACACCTCCAGCTCAAACATTAAGACATTACAAAAACAAAAAAGTGATTATCCAAAATGTCTGGAGGTGAAACAAATCAAGTGAACATAGATGAAGAAACTGAGACAACAACAAAGGAGATTCTAGAGAAGAAGCTGAAAGATCGCAAGGTTTCATGGGCAAAACTTCGTCGTGTAGACTCTCTCAATTTGGAAGCTGGGAGAGTTTCTATGAATACAAATCATCATTCTAAGGTATGTAGTTTTATAATTATCATCGGTTTTTTCGTCGATAATTTTAGTGGAGTTTATTTCTTGATTATACTTTTTTTTGTATTCATAAAACTTGAATTTGATTTTGTGATGTAGATGGGTTGGAGTGTGACTTTGAGTTTGGCATTTCAAAGTATAGGGATTGTGTATGGTGATATTGGTACATCACCACTTTATGTGTATGCAAGTACTTTCACGGATGGAATAAAAGACAAAGATGACATTCTTGGAGTTTTGTCTCTCATCATCTACACCATTGTTCTTATTCCCATGCTCAAATATGTTTTCATTGTTTTATGGGCTAATGACAATGGCAACGGTATGTCAAATTTTATTTCTAACTTTTTTTTACATATTATAATATAGTATAGTTCTTTAGAAATTAATATTGAATATAGTGGTTTCATATGAATGAGTGAGATCTCCAAATCAAAATTTAATTAGTTAACTGGACCCCAAAAACCATAGGAAAATAGTCTCTCTCGTATGAACCTAAAAAAATCTCTAAAGAGAAATAGTGGGCGTTATATACAAAAGCAAATATTATAAATAAAAAATAAAAATAAAAAAAACAAAATGAAAGAGATGTATAACAATAAATTTTCCTAAAATTAGCTATAACAAAAAATCAACCGATGAAGTAGGACTATTCACAAACTTGAATTCTAAGTAGTCCTTATTCACACATTATGGAGTAATAATAATTTTTTACTATATGGAATCTTTGATAGTGATATCGAATATTCCTATGTGAGAAAGAAAATTCTCGTCTTTATTATTAATAAAAGACTTATAGTTAGATTAATCAGAAAATATTTGTGATTATTATTTATAATTCAGAGATCCAATCTTGATTGGCTTATTACTCCTCCTTAGTCCTTACACCAACATTAAAAAAAACAAGTAATAACTAATTTCAATAAACCTTCCCAAGGTAATGCCCAAGATAATAACTTTTTTTTTTAATTTTAGAATTTTCACCCTAACTTTATAGGTATTCAATTTCAATTATCTAAAAAAGAGTAATGTCGCACGCAGTGTGTTGTCTGTTTATTTTTTATTTTTGTATTGATTTAATATGTTATTCAAACAAAGTATTAGTAATTTTTATTTAAAAATTTGATATGAAATACTACAATATGAATATAGGTGGAGCTTTTGCACTATACTCGTTGATTTGTAGGCATATAAAAGTGAGTTTAGCACCCAATCAACAACCTGAGGACATGGAACTTTCTAATTACAAACTTGAAATTCCATCTTACAAGCAGAAAAGAGCAAATAAAATAAAGCAAATGATTGAGCATAGTCATTTTGCTAGAATTGTTCTCTTACTTCTTGCTATCATGGGAACTTCCATGGTTATAGGAGATGGCATTCTCACTCCTTCAATCTCAGTTCTTTCTGCTGTTAGTGGAATCAGTTCATCCCTAGGTCAAAGTAAGTACTTTATTTAATTAATGCTTTATTTTTTTAATTATTAGTATTTGCTATAATATGTGATTGTTAACTGTTTATTTATTTATTTTTTTCAGATGCTGTCGTGGGAATTACTGTAGCAATTTTGGTGGTGTTATTTTCTATGCAACGGTTTGGTACTGATAAAGTTGGAGCTTTATTTGCTCCGATAATTTTAATATGGTTTTTATTTATTGGTGGAATTGGTCTCTACAATTTATTTAAATATGACCTTGGAGTATTAAAAGCTTTTAATCCAAAATATATAGTTGACTACTTCAAAAGAAATGGTAAACATGGTTGGTTATCATTAGGTGGAGTCTTCTTATGTATAACAGGTAGTGATTATTATTTATTAACAATATCATCTACTCTATTAATTTATCAATTAATTAATTAATCTTGTTTTAATTCTAACTAAGATATATATTACATATAATCATAGGATCTGAGGCCATGTTTGCTGATTTAGGTCACTTTAATGTTAGAGCCATTCAAGTAAGTAAACCAAATCAAATTATATAGTACTAGTAATTTATCAACATTATACATTATAATAAAATAATAATAATGTACATATGTATGCAGATAAGCTTTTCTTTCGTTACATTTCCTGCCATATTGACTGCATATGTTGGTCAGGCTGCATTTCTAAGAGTGTTTCCTGATAAAGTTTCCACCACTTTCTATGACAGTATACCAGGTAATTAATTTCATTCATTTTAATTAATCTCAATTAATTAACCGATTTTTTGTCTTATTTATTAATGTGAATGAATAACTTGCAGACCCTTTGTACTGGCCTACATTTGTTGTTGCTATTGGTGCTGCCATTATTGCTAGCCAAGCTATGATTTCAGGAGCATTTTCCATTATATCACAAGCCCTAAGTCTAGGTTGCTTCCCTAGGGTTAGGGTTGTTCATACTTCAACTAAGCATGAAGGTCAAGTTTATATTCCAGAGATCAACTACATGTTCATGCTTGGATGTATTGTAGTTTGTGTTGCCTTCAAGACCACCGATAAGATTAGCCATGCATATGGTATTGCAGTTATTGGTGATATGATGATTACAACAACATTGGTTTCACTTATAATGCTTGTTATATGGAAGAAGAGTTTATGGATGGTTATCATTTTCTTTTGTGTATTTGGTTTTACTGAGATTCTTTATTTCACTTCTCAACTAACCAAGTTCACAGGAGGAGGGTATTTTCCAATTGTGCTAGCTTTGTTCTTGACAATGATTATGGGAATTTGGCATTATGTACACAAAGAAAGATACATGTTTGAACTCAAAAACAAAGTTTCTACTGAGTATTTGAAAGAGTTGGCTAATAATGCAGATGTGCATAGAGTTCCTGGAATTGGACTTCTATATTCCGAGCTCGTACAAGGAATTCCACCGATATTCCCCCACTTTGTTTCTAGTGTTCCGTCGATTCATTCTGTCGTTGTGTTTGTGTCTATCAAGACTGTTCCGGTTAGTAGAGTTGCGTCAGAAGAGAGGTTTTTGTTTCGTCAAGTGGAGCCAAGAGAGTATAGAATTTTTAGATGCGTGGTGAGGCACGGTTACAACGATGTACTTGAGGAACCTGTGCAGTTTGAGTCACAATTAATACAAAATCTCAAGGGATTTATTCAACAAGAGAATTTCATGCTTGAGGTTAATGAAGGCACTACTACTGCTAATGTAGCAGCAGCAACAAGTGAAGAATTAGTAGTGCCTATTTCTACTAATGAGAATGATCAAATGGAAGATGTGAAACCAAAATCTACTAATTCTTCTAGTAGAATCATTCCAAGTGTTGGTGTGTCTCATGTTTCATCAGATTCAATTAGATCATTACCTGGAAGTGTGACAAAATCATCAAATTTCTATGCACCTATTATTCAAGGACCTGAAGAGGAAATTAAGTTTATAGACAAAGCAATGGAAAGAGGTGTGGTGTATATGATTGGTGAAGCTGAGGTAGTGGCTCATCCAAATTCTTCTATTTTGAATAAGATTGTTGTGAACTATGCTTATAGTTTCTTGAGGAAGAATTTTAGACAGGCAGAACAATCCATTGCAATCCCACACAAGAGACTTCTCAAAGTTGGAATGACATATGAAATATAACATTGAGACATGTGGTGAAATAAAATGATATATGATATGTTTGTATCATGTTGTCTGCTGTGTTATCTATGTTAACTACCAATGATTTGGTGTATTATATGATAAATATGTGTGTTCAATTTTGTTTTTAGTTTGTGATTTCTCCAACAGGTCATGTAAGTTTGGAGACTGTAGAGGAGGAAAAGTCATTGCTCTAACATAAATAAAAAAGCAGATTGTCAATTATATGTTGTGTGCAAATTGATATTATCTGAGATATTTTGATATGTTGCGTTCGATAAAAGTCATAAGACATTAATTTTAATTAATCTTATAACATGTCAAATGATTCTATACTTTAATACAAGTTAGCTAGTGCATTAATGTATATGATATAAAATTCTTTCAAGCAAAGTGAGTTTGAATCCTAATGATAGGTTACCAAAAGCCATAACCTCTTCCTCCCTAGTGCTGATTATTAAAGAAGACAACCCTCGGAATTTAGAGGAGTAGGCCTATTTATTTGGTAGGTAGTTTGTACAAAATCATTTCAAATATTATGACATCAAGATTGAAAAGATTGATGGGCAAAAAGATATCCCAATGTCAAACTGCCTTCATCCAACAAAGGCTTGTGGGGATCTTTTGATCAATGAGATCTTAGATTTTACAAAAAGGAATATGAGGTGTTGTATGATATTGGGAAAGGTCGATTTTGAGAATGCTTATGATTTTGTATCATGGGAATATTTGAGATATACCCTAAAGAGAATGGTCTTTGGTTCACAATGGATGAAATGGGTGAAAGCGACCGTTTTTACAAGCTCAATGTTTGTTCTTGTCGATGGAAGTCCAACTTTAGAAATACAATTTGGTAGAGAGTTGCGTCAAGAGGATCTTATATCGCCTTTTCTATTTCTAATGGTACCAGAAGGATTGGAATTTCTTGTGCACAATGTTGTCAATCTGGGAGAGCTAAAAAGGTTTGAATTTAATGACACTTGCACTTTGATCTGATTCAGTTTGCAGATGGTACAATGATTGTGTGTGATGATTCATGGAATAATTATTAGACCATCAAGTCAGTTTTACAAGGATTTTCAACTTGCCCTAGGCTTGCGAGTTAACCTATTCAAAATCAAACACTATGGAGTGAACCTTAAAGAGGAATTCCTGCAAGCAACTGCGATATTTCTTGTGGTCTTGGTTCAATTTCCTTTCTCTTTCTAGGGATGCCAGTAGCGGCTAACCCTATAAGGAAATTGATCTTACCGGTTGATCAGAACCTGCAAGGTGGCCGGATGATGATCTTCAATCGGGCTGTGATGTCGAGGAGGGAAAAAAAGGGTTGTACCTGCAAGGCACTCTGACAATCAAGTAAGTGTGGAAGCGAAGAGATATAAGTAAAGTGTTAGGGTATTAGTGGTGAATAGTGAATATTCGATACCTGACCCTCATATGTTTGAGGGTTTATATGATGCCCCTGGCGTGTAGCCATTGGTTCCTATTTTTGGGCTTGGATATGTGGGCCCGCAAAAATAAGTAACTTCCTAGACTTGGTCATACCTGGCAGGTGTGCCCGTAATTAACCGTTAGATCCAAGGAGAAGGTAGGTTACGGGTGTAACGCCCGTAATTTAATTAATTATTTAATTAAATTATTTTGGAATATTTGAGAAGATGTGTTGTGATTAGTGGGATTTAATTATTTTATTAAGTGGAGAAATAATATTAGAAATATAATATTATTTGATGTGGGCTTGTTTTTAAAGGAATAAAAGTAATAAGGGGGTGTGTTAGTTTTGAGTCTAATAAGGAGTAAAGAGAATAATAGGGTTATTTTATTGTTGTTAGAAAGAATAGAAATGGGAGGCAGTAGAAGAATAAGGATTGAGAAGAAGAACGTGAAGTTGCTGGAAAAAGAGGAAAAACGGCAGAACAAGGTTTCAACCGGAAGTTATAGAGCGACCTTCAATCCAAGGTAAGGGCGGGGTTCTGACTCTATAATTGGGATCATGATGATTGGTATGTGGGGTTAGAGGTGATTGTTGTCTTGTTCATGAATTGAATGTTTATGATGATGTATGATGTGAAATTGATGAGTTATAATTGATGTAGAATTATAAGGTAATTGTAAGTGATGATTATCTATGACTAGATTAAGTTTTTAGGGCTTAAAATATGAAACCCGTAGTGAAAACACAGAGAAAATCGTAGAATTTATGCAGGATGTAACAGGATGCGTCGACCTCAAATGCTTTGTGTCGATACAAGGAGGTTTTGAGACTCAGGATGAGTCGACACGAAGGGTCTTGCGTCGATACATGATTGCTTTTAGACTCAGGATGAGTCGATCTATAGGAGCATGTGTCGATACATGCTGTGTGTTATACTCGGGATGAGTCGATCCAAGAGAGGATGCGTCGACTCATGTTGTGAGTTCAGTGCAGTACGCGTCGATCCAAGGAGTTATGCGTCGATCCATGTTGTCTGGTTTTTGGCAGATTTAGTTTATAAATATTGTAACTTGAGTTTTAGGATGCCGTTTGAGATGCCGTTCGAAGCGTTGAATAGCTAACGCGATGAGCTTTATTCTAGAGGATTAAAATGAAGAATAGGAAGTGTAATCCTAGTATCCAATTTAGGATTTAGAGTTAGTTCCCGTGTTGATCGTTATGTTGGTTTTTATGCAGAATGATGAGGATGAAATGTTTATAGGCTGTTGTTTGGTTTGTAACAGTAGGAGTAATGATAGTAATGATGTAAGACTACATAATAGCAATGTGAATTACTGTCGTATTAATGTACATCTGAGTTGTTGATGAGATGTTATTAATTAAGTTGTGTTTGATGAATAAATGATGTTTGATGAATAAATGATGTTTGATGAATTATTATGAATGATATGAGATGTTTGATGAAGAGATGTTGAAATGTTTTTGAGATGTAGGCCTTTGGCCAACGATGATGATGTATTGAGATGTTATTAATTGTGGTGTTGTTATTACATTCATGATTGTGTCGCATCCATTGCATTTTGAGATGGAGCTTATGCTCGTTGAGATGGCCTATATTGGCGAATATTGAGATGAAGGCTTATGCCTTGTTGATGCCTCTATTAATTGGAAATTGTTTGAGATGAGAGTTCTGCTCCAAATGGTACCACATGCATTTGCATAGTATTGAGTCGCATTATATAACTTCATAAAGAAGTGTGTATTGATGTGGTGAATGTGTATTATTATTGTTGATTATGAGATGAGAAGTGGTGATGTTATGTGATCTAATTTAATATATTAATTATCATGCGCTTTATTATATTGTTAGATATCTCACCCCTTCTGTTTTAATGTTGCCCTTATGTTGGTAACGTGTAGGTAATCGAGAGTGAAGGCTTTATACCTTCAATAGTTTGAGTCGGTGTCATTGCTCTGATATGTAACACTCGGGGGGATGAACGCTTGTTGCTTTTGATTGTTGATTATTCAGTTGTTGAACCTTAAGTTGATTATTATTATGTATTTGTTGGTTTGAAGTTGCTGTAATGATGATAAGGATGTTATTAAGAATTCCGCTGCGTAGATGTTGAATTATTTAGTTAAAGATGTCATGATGATGGTTCATATGATGTTTTAAAAGTGTTATATATCCACGATGAATGCAATGAATTTTGATAGAAGAATTTGTGGCATCCCGATTCGTTTGCATGAATGATTTTTATAACTCTGATTTATTTATATAATTTGCCGGTGTAGAATTGGGGTGTTATAAAAGTTGGTATCAGAGCAAAAGGTTGGTCCGACCTTGTCGTTGAGTCGTAGTTGTCTAACAATCGAGTATTGTTAATTTGAGTTCTAACCGTTGTTTATGTTGTAGTGAGAAGTTGAGATGGCTGGAAGGAATGATGCTGCACTTGCTGCTGCTTTAGAAGCAATGGCTCATGTGATGGAAAATCAGCCGAATACTGACGGGAATGCTGGATCTCGTAGCTTGACGACTTTCCAGAGAGAGAATCCACCTACGTTCAAAGGAAAGTATGGTCCTGACGGAGCATTGGAGTGGTTGAAAGAGATTGAGAGAATCTTCTGTGTGATGGACTGCACTCCAGTGCAGAAGGTTCGGTATGGGACACATATGCTAGCAGTCGAGGCTGATGACTGGTGTCTAGAGACTTGTCAGAAGCTGGAAGCTCCAGGTGAGAATGTCACTTGGGCTGTGTTCCGAAGGGAGTTTCTGAGGAAGTACTTTCGTGAAGATGTCTGTGGTAAGAAGGAGATTGAGTTCCTTGAGCTAAAGTAAGGGAATATGTCGGTTGTTGAGTATGCTGCCAAGTTTGCTGAGTTGGCTAAGTTTTATCCGCACTACACTGAGGCAGATGCTGAGTTTTCGAGGTGTATCAATTTTGAGAACGGGTTGCGCCCGGAGATCAAGAAGGCAGTTGGATACCAAAAGATCCATGTCCTTGCTGATTTGGTTGATAGATGCAGGATTTATGAGGAGGATAATAATGCTCATTACAAGATTATCAGTGAGAAGAGGGGTAAGCACCAACATAATCGTGGTAAGCCTTATGATGCCCCAGTTGGTAAGGGTAAACAGAAATTTTCTCAGGGCCATAGAACTAGTGGGGGAGATGCTCCTACTGGTGTGGTTTGCTTTAAGTGTGGAAAATCTGGGCACAAGAGTAATGTGTGTACTACTGAAGTGAAGAGGTGTTTCCGTTGTGGTAAGAACGGACATGTTGTTTCTGAGTTTGAACATAAGGATGTGATTTGTTTCAATTGTAGAGAAGAATGGCACATTGGTAGTCAGTGTCTGAAACCGAAGAGGGCTCAGTCAAGTGGAAAAGTGTTTTCTTTGGTGGAGGATCAGATGGATGTTGAGGACAGACTTATCAGAGGTACATGTTTCATTAATAGTACTCCTTTAATTACTATTATTGATACCGGTGCTACGCATTGTTTTATTGCTGCTGATTGTGTTGAAAGATTGGGTCTTATGTTGTCTTCGTTGAATGGAGAA